CCGGCCGGGGCCCCGGATGCACGCGGCAGCGAGCCCGGCAGGGGGAGGCCGCAGCGCGCCGCGGTGCCGGGGTCTCCCTGGGGCTGGCGCGCAGCCCTCCGCAGCTGAGGGGGGCGGGCACGGCGCTCCGGCGTGGCCAGTCGGAGGGCTTGCGGGGCCTGGAGCACCCCGTCCCGCCTGGAGACGGGGCGTGAGCCGCGGTAAATGAGCGCGACTTGATCCTCCCGGCTAGGAAAGGCGGGCTGCGGCGGGCAGCGCTTCCCTCTTTGTTTGTCGGCTTCTCCGTTGGCAGGCGCGGCAGCCCCTCGTCCCCCTTCTCAGCGGGTGTGCCCGAAGGAGCGGCTGCTTCACTAGTTCGGAAGCAAAATCACTCGCAATGGGGTCAGGTTAACTTCGGGGAAGTGTCTGTGCGGGAGGTTAACCCTGTTCAGCTAAAACGGTCTCAAGGCAGTTTTAATTAATGTATGTGCACCCCTTCCTTGGAGACTTAAACTGAAATAAGTGTAGCTTAAAATGAAATGTGTTGTTGACAACACAAAGTTTTGCTCTGGTTCAACTAGCTCAATTTTTAAATTGTATCTGAGGTTCAATTGCAGGTATTTTGCTGACTAAACATAGCAGGAAAGTTAGGAGAAAGTCTGCATACATTGGCTAAGTTTTCATAATTTTAACCTTTAGATTATCTAAAATGGTTTTAATCAGTCAACAAGGCCTATTTTCTTCGGGTCACCTAGTCTAATTACCACTCAGTCTTTTAATTCAAAAACAAAAATGGATTTTTCTGTTACCTGCTTAAAACTGATAAAAACAAAAGGGAAGTTGCCTGATTATGTATTCTGTGTGTTTTTTAAAAAGGGTAGCTATTTTGCAAGTCTGTCTCCATTTGTTACCTTTTAGATTCCAGAAGCACAGTGAACATGGTCACTGAAAACTGGGAGCCAGGACCTGTAACTGATACCCATTCCTACTCCTTGAAGAAGGACCCTTAGAGCTGATTTCTGCAAGATGCAAAAGCTAAAGAATTGCAGGTTCCTTGAACGTTTTAGTATTTTGTATAAGTCCTGACTCATCCTTATGCAGTGAGGGAACAGGGCCAAGATGTATCACAGGTAAATTATTTAATACGCCTGGTTCCCATGCTGAAATCCCCCTAGGATTAACCAAGGGACTTAAAACAGAACCTCAAGTGAATCCCCTGATCCCAGGTTTGAGTAACGGGATGCCAGTGGCCAGTCCCTGAGCATTCCTGGGGATCTGTGGTGCTGAGGGATGCCGGTCAGGTCTGAGGAGCTGATCTCCAGAGCCACTCCATGTTCCTGTACTGCATCTGCATCAGCTGTGGCAGGTCACCAGGCGGTTTTTCCTAGGGCTTTTCAAAGTGTATCCATGCTGTGTGGTAGGCAGTGGTGCCTGGTACCTACTCAGTCTCTTGCTTGTACGTACCAAGATCCCTTTCCTTATGGATACCATAGCATGTCTTCATTGAGAAGTCCCTAGGGCTGACAGGGCTCCACAATGAACCTGCTGGGAGCTAAAAGGAAAAAAAATACCACCTTTCTCATCTGTATCTGGTGCCCTCCCAACTCCCTCCCACGCTGTTATTTGTGCCAGCTGCACAGAGGGGGAGGAGGGGATGGGTGGGGTTGAAGCAATCTGAAATGGTGGTATAGTTTCCTACACCGTGTTGTCTTGTGAGAGTCACAAGAGACAATGTGGTCCACCAGCATATGACCTTATCCACTTTCTTAACGCATGGGATGGGTATTGCTGAACTCCTCTGTGACTTCTGTTCTCACTTGTGGTATTCTACAGACCTTTTTTTCTGAGAGGTGCCACAGATATAGACTCTACCGCTACTGCCCAGTGCTGTTACAGTCGCAGAGCTGCACAATTGTCGCATCCTGATAAGAGAACATCAGACTATTCTTCAGTTTTTCAGTCTCCTCTGTTCAGATACTGATATTCAACTGCTCTTTGTGTTAGGGAAAGCAGAAGGCAACATTGCTTCAGACTACCTCATAGATCTGTTGAGAATACAAAAGAAGGTGCCTCTCAAACACTTCTCTAGACTGTAGTATGTACTTAAAGATGATCACCTTTCCACAGGTGCTGAGTTTCTGGATGCTGTTACTGTGCATCGTAAAAGGGAAAGATGACCTTCGGTAACTAAGTGGGAGGGCACTGCACGTGATAACAATGCAGTTGTCAAAGAATGGCATAGCTAGATACTCATCCAATTATCATATGAAAAAAAGGTTCAAATTCTAGTTTCAATACAGAAGAATTTAAACCTCAGAGACTCCCTGGAATGGATAGTGAAAACTAAAGCAAATTGTTAGTCCTGTAAGAAACATGCTAAAAATAGTCTCTGTCTATGTGTGAAGTCTCTGTGACCTACGGTAGTGTATTTGCTGACTGTGCCCAGGTAACTGGAAGGATAAGCAAATGCAAACTAAAGCCTCTTTTTCCTCCTCTGATTAAAAGAGTAAAATACTTCATTGGTAACTCCTGGCTTCATTTTATTAACATTCTGTTAACACATACTGTACATGTAGGTAGATGGGATTAGCATGAACATAATTACATTTGAAACAGCATTTGAACATAACTGCTGTAATTGTATTAGGGCCAAATTCTTCTACCCTTTGTCCTAAAAGATATCTTCATCAGGCTTCTCATCAAAACCTTAGTTCCATCTGCATTGCAAACTGGAACAGTATTTTATTATATTCCACTACAAACTTTATGTATGGTCTTGCTCCAAGTTCAGTGAGACAGATCTTTTTCCTAGAGAATTAGAGGATATATAATTCTTCTAAGTCTTCCCCCTCTTCTTTTTTTTTTTTTTTTTTTTTTTTTATTTGTGTAAGACTGAATTTTTGTAGAAAAATTACAGAAACCTTCAGGAAACAAACTGCAGTCTGAATAGAAACTAATCCTTCTTACGCTTCATTGAGTAAGAAGTTCAAGGCTGAAGAGCCATGACAGTTTCTTTTGCAAATGATCTTTCAACTTTGAATTTTCTGATAGGAAATTAAGATAGTAATAAGAGGTCCTAATATTGGCCCCTACAGAATAGGAAACAGACTTAGATGGGATGACTGGGGAAGCAGAGACCAGGAAAACTCCACCAACCTTTACGCAGAAGACAGTTGCTATCTAACTAGCATAGATATACTTGCCCTTGCATTGTCAGAGCTTAGAAAATTTTCCTTATGTTTTTAAAAGTAGAAGAAACACAATTAAGCACGTTACTTACCAACCCACATACATCTAAAGAAACTGATCCCTTCATGCCTTTTCACTGATAACCATAAAAATGAGCCCACTAGATGGGAGAGGTGGACAACATTCCATGAGGGTAATATTTTATGAATTTTTTTGGTAGCTTTCACCTAAAGTGTCACTCTTGAGTGAATCCTATGATGTTTAACAATGTCGTTGAATTTACACTACAAACCTGTTCATACAGAGGGCAGTACTTTAAATCTCTCTGTACCACACTGCGTATTTTCATCAAACATATTGGCCTTTTACCAAGTTCATCATACTTTGGGTTTAAACTGCATAAAGGGTTCAGGAGAGCTGGGGGATGAGGACTAATGAATACATAAATAATCTGATCACATAAGACTCATTCAGAATGAATGAAAAAGGAATGTAATGCCCTTTAGATATGTACTAAAAAACTAATAACTGAAAAGATCAGTTCAATACTATCATGACAAGAAGCAATTTTCTGGGCAGCTGTCAGTTGATAGGTATTTATAGAAACTCAGCATTTTTCCTCCATAAAACAGACTAAAGCGGATGAGAGCAGCACAAAACAATTGTTTCTGGCACTGACTTTGTCAGCCATTTCTAAACTGGAACTCCATAACGTGCTTCTCCCAAATCACCTATTTGGGATCTAATTGTGGCCCCTTTCAGTTTAGCAATACAAGGTGGATCACAGGTTCCTAAAACATAGCTGGAGCTGCCTGAAATGACAACTCGAATTTTCCACGCTCAGCTGAAAAGACACAAGATAAGCAATTATCATGCATCCTTTATTCTTCCTCCTTTTGCCCGGTGCTGTCCTATGGTCAGGGCAACTCACTACTGATTGATGAGTTGGGTAAAACTGTTGGACATGGCAGTTTTGCAAGGGTAATGCAAATGTAATGTTACAGGTTGGAAACCAGAGTGGCAACAGCTTGCCTAAACGGGAAAGACAGAGAGGAAGATGGAGGTGTTGTTTACCTAGTATTGACATCAATGCCTTTAGCATAATGTCTTAA